TTCCTGCCTAACCCGAGTGATTCAGAGATATTATTTGTACTAAACCAAAAGATGCCGCTCTTAACGGTACAGTTAATGATAAAGCGATTTAAAAAATGAAACGAACGTAATTTCTAAATCTGCTGTAATAACCAAGAAGCTTAATTTAACTGCTATTCAAAATCGTCAACAATAAATTTTTTACGGCTGTAATAGTTGATAGATTTGTAGAGAATTGCACGTGCCATGGCTATTTATAGTATCATACTGTCAGAAAGTTGGTCTCGGCACGGCGAATGTGCACGCTTCAGTGGTAGTCTCGAACTATCAGCGGTGGACTGTATTTCTGTGAGTACATGGGTCACCCTAATGATGAACTGAAAAATCCCAATTTTTGGCATCCTTTTGGAACCAGAAAAAAAGACCCGCAACAGGCAATTGTTTAGATTGTTTTAATTGGTCGACGAAAGGGAACATACTGGTATCTAGACGAGTGGCCTTTAAATGAAAATGGAGGGTTTGGTGGTCGTGTGGGGGTGGGTATATTGTCGTCATGACGTGTCTAACGCATGCGATTTAAATCACGAGGTATGCCAGTGGTGTGGTTTCGATCCCATGGTTAACCTTGAGAGGTTTCATGGGCGCGTATAGTACATTATGATTATATTTAGATCAATTTGACTGAAATACTCAACAAATTCCCGTTACATAATCTAGTTTTTAACTATTATAATGAGAACTGCCAGCTCTTTATCTAATCTCCCATAATGTTTCTTTAATTTATTACTTGCGTTTCGTAGCGCGAATCCAAAATTGAAGGAATTGTGTGCACAGTAATGTCACGCATGTTGGTAAAAATGTTACATATCGACATTTAAATGGTTCTCTGCATAAATGTTTATAAATATGTAAGTTGATATAAGCTTTGATCAATGTATGATGCAACTACAATCTGTGTAAATAAAAACTCTCATTCTATTCTGTGCAGCAATTCTAAATAAAATCATACTGTACTCTACGCGCCCATGAAATCTCTCAAGGTTAAGCATGATATTAGAGACTTTTGCAATGTAGTTTTAGAGTTTTGGCAGATTTTCGTGTCGCGTACTTATGCATCGCTTAGCTGGGCTTAGTTCTTTTACAGTTTGATGACAGAGTGTCTAGCCCAGAATTTCTAAGAGGGGGCGAATTCGCTCGACCGTCGCTGAGGTATTAAAAATATTTTTGGTTTCACTAATGTATCATTTCAGAAAGTTTATACCCCTTTACCATAGAATAAAATCATTTACAGATTTGCAAGGTTACACCCCATAAATTTAGCACATAGATCAACCAGCATGCAGACAGATAGAAAAAGTATGAAAGTTCCGAAAAAAAATCCATCAATAATTTGAATAATAATGATTAAATTCAAGTCTTTATCATGGTTAAAATCACATCAAATATACACCTTCTAGGATACACATAGATTCACAAAAACGCTATGATATAACATTTCAGTGTCTAAAAGTAGCAAAAAAGACGGTAAAAAGACGACAATGTTACATAGAACTTTTTCGTATGAAAGCTGTTCGATATGTGCTGTCGTATCCGTGTGCCGTATGACGTATGAGAAATACACACACATAGAAATATATATATTTCTATGTACACACACACATTGATGACGTCACATGCACAATCCATACGGATACGCGATCAATCTCCCAAACAGAGTTGTCTTCCCTTGCAGTCCACACGTGTATAGCGAGACTTGCGTGGAGAATGATACGCGATACGGACCAGAAATTTACGGTTGCCAAAAGTCTCTATTAATTTTATGTTCCGTTTCGTCGACCAATTAAAAGCAACCTAAACAATTGGCTGTTGCGGGTCTTTTTTTCTGGTTTCGAATGTTATTGATTTGCTTGGGAAATTTTCAGTTCATCATACGATTGTTACAATGTTCGGATTGGTATTCATTTTTAGAGAACCACGCTGTAAAAGTCCCGACCATAAACCAATCTATTAATGCAATTTAAAGATGTATTATGTAAGATTTAGCTAGAAAGCTGGTCGTTCTTGCTATAACAGTTCATAAACAGGTAATGCAAAATGAATGAAAATTTCTTTCAAATTAGTTTATTCTGAGCGAAGTTATCCCTTTTTTTAAGATGTGTCACAATCGCACTAGTCTCGCTTCGCCACTTATAAATATTAAACAATTAAATGGCGACCGTGTTTTAATCAGTTTAAATCTCCACATCACGTAGATTATAGGCTATATATTAGCAAAGACCTGTAATAGGCATACTACATCATTAATACAATAAAAATTCAAATGTAATTTTGACTGATTTTGGAACTCTCAGTGCAGTTTATTTAGGCTGGTATAAAAACAAGTCACACAATAGAATATAGTTGATCTGTAATATTGCAGCATTCTAAAGAATTTATCGACATTTAATCCTATTATACTATTCAAAAAAAGTAGGGGATATTTGATTTGTAAGTGTTATTAAAGTCACCTAATGAAACTGACGAAGAAACAAATGACAAAATGAAATGAAGTTCACATTCATCGATTTATTCCAAATGATCGTTAGACTAAGTAAGGCACAGACTGACCATTATAAGGGTAAAATGATACCCGGGGTCAAACAGCAAAGTTACCACAGCATCACAACCAAGTCAGTAACGGGTAAATCCTCCTCTGTTTGCCAAACAAGCATTGATCCGACGTGGCATACTCCTAATGAGACGTCTAAGGTCATTTTGGTCCAGATTGTCCCATTCCTGTTGCAACGCAGCAGCAAGTTCTTGGACATTGGCAGGGCGTTGTTGACGTTGACGTAACCTCTGTCCAAGCATGTCCCAGACATGCTCGATGGGTGAGAGGTCGGGACTCAGTGCTGGCCAAGGTAATGTGGTGATGTTCTGTTGTTGGAGGTAACCTGTAACGATCCTGGCCCTGTGACATCTTGCGTTGTCATCCTGGAAGATGAAACGGCGGCCATGATGTCGTGCGAACGGCACAACATGGCCTGCCAAGATGTTGTCCCGGTAGTACTGGCCTGTAACACGCCCTGCAACAACATGTAAAGCCGTTCTTCCAGCAACAGTGATGCCTCCCCACACAATAACAGAACCACCCCCAAATCGATCATGTCTGATGACGTTAACGTCTTGGAAGCGCTCGTTTCGACGACGCCACACCCTCCTACGTCTGTCCAAAAAATCAACAGTGAACCTTGACTCATCTGAAAACATCACATTGCTCCAGCGTCGATTATCCCAGTGTTGACGATCCCTACACCAACGACGTCTTGCCTGAATGTGATGATCTCTCAAACAAGGGATCACGCGAGGACGTCGGGCGCGAAGGTGACCCCTATGCAGTCGATTCCGAAACGTCTGGCCACTCACTCTCAGACCAGTGTCTGTTTGAAGACGAGCGCTGATCTGATTTGCTGTGATGACACGATTTCTCAAGGCCAAGGTACGGATAAATCGATCCTGGGCTTGAGTTGTCGACCTGAGCGTGGTCTGTCCTGTACAGATTGTGTATCACGGTATCTGGACCATAGCCTGCTTATGACAGACTGAGAAACATTCATCGTCCGCGCCACAACCGCCTGTGTTGTGCCGATCTGTAGCATGCCAAGGGCACGTAACCTTTCATTTTGGGTAAGCCGACGCATATCAAAATTTGTTTTCTGGTCACTAAAACAATTAAACTGATGTTTCCACCCTGGAATTCAATGCCACAATGACTGTAACATTCAAAGTCAGAGTCGTGCAAATCTTGGGTTGGACCCCCATGATGATCCCAAGCATCACCTGCATTCCATGCGGTAGCTATTGGTGCGTTTGGGCGTCACATGTAACTGGAAATGTTTCTTCTGTTAGGTTCTATAGTGACTTTTTTCGTAGTCATTTGCATATTTTAGTATTATGCCCCCAAAATCAAATATCCCCTACTTTTTTTGAATAGTATATATCCATCAAAGGCTCCTACGCCTATGCCATTGTTATTTAACTTCTGACATTGTGGCATTACTGTATAGTTCTTATTGTACAACCAATGTTAAAAGCAAAAAGTCGCATACTCGTCTATTTGTCAACTGCATGCAGTCTTGTACAACACCCTTGATTATATTTTAAATCTTACGAAGTGCAGAAAATCTTTAAATTTTTAATCGTTTTTTAAAATAGTATGCATTGCGTCATTTTATCGCAATAAAAATCCCTTGCCAAAATCACAAAATTGTGAAAGACAAGAATATTGGTCCAAAATGGTTTAATTCCGTTCAGTATTTAAAAATATATTGAATTTAGTGTAATATAAAATTTTATATAAATTTCACACCTCCATATTTATGTGTCTGAGGCAATTGAAGAAACAATAACAGGCCTTATGATATTAATTTTTGGCGTTCCGCGACGTTTCGTTCCGGAGTTTACCAAAAACATTGTGAACGCGATATGGGCTGTAGTTTTTAACTAATGCTTTTCGGATTTGGTCATTGGGGTCATGGGCTGGGTGAACACTATCGATATTTAGCGTTCCATGACTTTTCGTTCCTGAGTTATCCCTAATTTGCAGAAAATCTAGATGTAGGTTATGGTTTTTAAGCGATAGAGCCAAAGTGTTTAACGGAATCTTTTAAAATTTGGTGGGAAGCATTGGGACATGTGAGGATGAACCCTAGCAATAACGGATGTCTTTCAAATTTGGTGGGAAGCACTCGGGTCATGATACAAAGTGTTATGCGACCTTCCGTTCCGAAGTTATCAAATTTGCCCAACATCCAATGCTACTGCGTGTGCGTATTTCCACGCCTTGTGTGGCTATCTTTTAACTTTTGGGATAGATGAGAACGACCTTGTTGTGCATTCTGTAGACCCGTGTTATTGCCGTGTATTAGTTTTAAAAAAAAGAAATCACCATGTTGTAACAGATGCAGTAGTACAGCAACCTATAATCACATTCTCCATATATCATATAAGTTCAACTATTTTGAGATTTAACTCTCGATTGATATTGTGTCAGATAACGGACCAAAATAGAATGAGAAAAATATAAAATTCGATCTAATACTCAATAAACCGACGTGTCAACTAAGCCCACGTCTCCTCCGGGATTATAAAAGAAACCACAGTCAGTGACCAATTCAGACGTTTCTAGATTTCTTGTGAAAGATATCCGTTGATCATGTCGTTGAAGATGTTAACTATCGTGTTGTTGTGTGTTTATGTTTGTGGGGTAATATCCATGCCACAGGAACCACCATCAGGAGGACCAGGAGGTCCGGGAGGCCCAGGAGGCCCAGGAGGTCCACCACCAACTGGGAATCCACCACCACCTGGAGATTCACCACCACCACCACCAAGTGGAGGTAAATATTTTTTGTACTCAAAATATTTGAAACAAAGTATCTTTAAAATCACTAAACTTCTTTGTCTCTGTAATTCTGTTTGATGTGTTGGTCTGCTTTATGAAGTTGGTATCCGTTTCATTTAAAATATTTATGTCCATAGAGATAGGAGAAATAGACGAACAAGCATGGTATTCCCCGGGCCACCTACCCGGCGGAGACATGTACAAGTTTTTCAGCATGGCCTGGTCGATACCTATGCAACCCGGATTAGATATCGCAAGGCTCATCGTCGGCCGAGAGGAGGGGAGAGTGCAACTGTCAATGCCTCAGGTAGATCCGTGAAAGTGACAATTCCCCACAAAGCCGATTCGTCATCGGCTTTTGTAATTGTTGCTTATGTTCCGTCTCGCCAGGCGTCTGACCGTCAGAAAAGTCGTGAGAGACATGTCTGCTCTCAGAGGTCTTTTGTCCGATGCAGCCTGTACATGCGGTTCGAGTTGCTTCGGATTGCTACTCCAAGTGCGTGGTAAGATCCACTGCACGAGCCCGATAGCGAACAATTGAACTTTGAAGAGGGAGTTCAAGACATCGCGAAATCACCTACAGGCAAACGGCTGGATTAGCCCATTCATAATACATCTAACTATCCCTTTACAGCACTTCACTCCCTACACATTTCCCCTCGTCCTACTTTCCCAAACGTCAACAACACATCTCATACATCCAGTTCGCTGATTAACCCTTGTACCACGTCTACTGGATTAGCCCGTGCCAACAGCCAAATCTAGCTCTTGGGGCAGGCGACTCTTCGTGTGTTCGGGAGGATTTATCCCCGTCAGCGGCCCATCCGTGTTGCGAGTCGCGATCGATCGGCAACTAGTACCTTGTCACTGTCTGTCGTTAATTTTATCTGTACAACTGTGGTCTCTAGGTTGTCTTCTGTGGGGCGGTGGGCATTGTGGAGCGGGGTTTTTTTTTGGGGGGGGGGGGGGAGGGGGCTGATCGTGACAGTTTTGTAGTCCAATCTACACATCTATAAAGCCAAACAAAATAAATTAAATCTTGTAAACAAACTGAGTGTCTCTTCTGTTATGTAACGCAAATTTAATCGTATATTTATTTTGTCTAATCACTAATCAAATCAACCCAATTCAAGACTGTATCTGTACATACACCAAATAATTTACCGCCATTAAATATCATGTCAAGGATTATAATAATGTACTTTGTGTAGGATGTTAAATCCCATTACATTTGATTTGATTTTGTGCAACATAATTAGATTTAAGAAAATGTAAAATATATTTCATTTCGGCAATATCATTCCATCTTCAGAGTTTAGGATATAATCTTCGCTTAAATATTTTGATGGGCTTTTTCTTAATCATATTGAATACTGTTGATTTCGATTGTTTGTTCTTAATTAAATGTTAAACAATTTATGACTTGAGTTCATCGTGGATAAAACTGTACAAAAAATAGAAATTGTCCGAAAAATACATGTGACGATTAGCATATTCCTGAAGCCATGACCCGAGAAATCCCTCTCTGGCCATTGTTGGATTGACTTCTGATACTTGAGCTTTTGAGGAGTGTGTCTATTCTTCCCTTTCAATCAAATCTCTCCAAGGTACAATCTGGGATCTTCCCTAAAACTTTGGACGATGATTTAAGGTATTAAAAACGGCGAAAATATTGTTCGTCTTCAAACAGTATCGTTTACATCGTAGACGTTTTGATACCATCGTTTGTCAGGCAATTATATTCCATCTATGCCCTCTGGGCATTTCGGATTAATATTGCATATTCCCGGTTATCCAGCCAGAATATGCTTGAACACTCATGTTTAAAGAAAAACCAAAAAACTCATGAACCCTGACCTGTATCACGTGGCCGTAGTTGATGTCAGTCCGTGCAAACTCTGGTAAGTGTCTTTTTCTGTTATGATCTAGACTAGGATAGAGCTTGAATACTCTCTTCCACTTCTTGAGGTGATCCTCAGTTAGTACTATAAGTTTTATAATTCATATCTACTATTTTATTGTAGCTCATATTATCTATTTATATTCCGAGTCGTATCGCTGATTCGACTCTCATGGTTTATTGCTATTTTTAGCAACAAACAAAATACAAACTGTCGTTTCGTTGGTTCAACGAAATAATAATATGAGTGAATCTCCCGATCAGGATTTTACTGGCTTTACAGCCCAAGATTTAAGTATTGCTGAAAATATTTTGATTAATAACAATCAAGGTGATACAACCAAATTCGCTGATCTTTATTGCGACAAAGCAAAAAATTCGAAACCGGAAGTTAAAACTTCTCAGGTAAACAAACATGGCCGAAAAATTGGAAAAAGGAAAAGTTCGGAGAAAATTACTGCTCCATGTAAGAAACAATTAAACTTTGCTCGAACGGGTGCAAAACCTACTTGCACGGTCACTTCTGCAGCACTGAACCATGGTTCTGAATTTGCCGATGATTTTGCTCATTCGGCCGCTGTAACGAATACTAATAGTAATAGTAATAGGGCCACTTTCGAGGATACCACGAGCGGTGGTCACGTAAAATTATCGAACGAACAAATAAACAGAAACGAACTTGTTGATTTAAAGAATCAAATAGCTTTATTGACATCTATAGTTGATAAACAGTTACACAAGCCTACTAATGCTGATCTAGGCCATCACGTCAATGATTATAGAAATATAGAACAAAATGTTAGTTCTAACGATATTTATTCTAACAATAAAAATCATGAATATGAAAATTTTTACAATGAACCGGTAATCGATCTGGTTGATCCTCAAGAAATGTATGATGAGTTTCAAGAGGAAACACCTGATGTTCTTGAGGATGATTTTGATATCCCTAAGATATTTCAAGGGGATGATACTTTTGGTAATCCAGTATCAGATAGTCTTGTTAAATTGGTTTCTGTTGCCACCACTAAGAAGGTGGAGATTGGAAAAATGACATCCAAATATTCAATTCCTGAGAACTGTAAATGTTTGGTTCCACCACTAGTTGATGGAGACATTTGGAACATTTTGCCGAAGACGGCTCAATCTCAGGATTTATCGCTTCAAGATGTTCAAAAATTAATTAGTATTGGTATAGCCCCCCTTCTTACAATCTTGGCGTCCAAAGATCGAACTATCGATCAAAATAGTAAAATTGCAGTGATCGACTCAGTCGTGATTTTGGGAAACTCTTTGAATGAGATTTCGTTGAGACGTAGACATCTTATGAAACCCTTTCTCAGTAAGAGATACCATCCTCTTTGTTCTTCTTCTCGACCTATCTCAGGTACTCTATTTGGTCCAGACATTGCCACCAGGATTAAAGAAATAGACCAATCTGCCAAATTATATACTCCAATGAACTCGAACTATAATAATAAAAGATCTAATAATTATTCATATGGCAGGTCATGGTATAAAAAGCCTTTTTTAGGTGGAGGCCAGAGGAGGTATCAACCTCCAGATCGGAGGGGAGGTTACCAGAATTTACAGTACAGGGGCAGGTATTACAGCACACGAGGCAGAGCCAGAGGCCGTTATACAAAGAACCAATAGATTGTGTAAGTAAGAATTTGGGCAACAAGAAGTTTATAGCGGGACAATTATCTAAATTTTCTCATAATTGGCAGTATCTCACAACTGATAGTTGGATTATCGATACAATTAGTAATGGATATACAATTGAGTTTAATTCATTACCTGTCCAGTGGTCTTGGCCCAATTCGCCTTGTCTTTCAGTGACAGAGGTTGATATTATTGATCAGGAGGTTGCAAAACTTCTTGACAAAGGTGCAATTGAACCAACCAATCCTTTTCCGGATCAATTTATTTCTAATTTATTTTTAGTACCTAAAAAGAATGGGTCATTAAGGCCCGTAATCAATCTAAAAAAGTTAAACAATTTTGTATCTTATGAACACTTTAAGCAGGAAACTTTGGCTGTTGCTCTGAAGTCTATTACAAAGAATAGTTTTTTAACCTCGATAGACCTTTGTGATGCTTATTTTTCTATTGGAATTAATCCTAGTGATAGGAAATATTTATGCTTTGTTTGGCATGATGTCATTTATCATTTCACATGCTTACCGTTTGGAATTTCGTCAGCGCCTCGGGTGTTCACAAAAGTCCTTAAGCCTATTTTCTCATTTTTAAGGAAGCAGTCAATTATATGCTTTTATTTTATAGATGATTCACTTTTTTCATCTACAACCATTGAAGAGTCAAATTCTAACACATATAAAGCTATTGATTTGTTTCATAATCTTGGTTTTGTAGTTAATCTGGAGAAATCACACTTAAAACCTTCGAAAGAATTGGTTTTTCTTGGTTTTATTATCAACACAGAATATTATAATGTTTTTATGACTCCTGATAAATTAGATAAGATTGTATTATTAGCTAGGAATTTATTAGCTTCTGTTTTTACTATACGAGATTTAGCTTCATTCATAGGCCTTTGCTCATTTAGTAGAACTGCAATCCAGCCTGCTCCACTTTATATCCATTATTTAGATAAAGGTAAAACAAGACTGCTTTCACAATCTGGTCTTAACTATGATGCTATTGCGGTTCTAGATTTTAAGATGATCGATGAGCTTCATTGGTGGATTCATGAAGCCTATTTGTTCAATGGTAATCATATTCAACCCCCTCCAGTGGATGAGATTTTAACCACTGATGCGTCTGAAATGGGATGGGGAGCTCATTTTAGGAATTTCCAAACAAATTCCGTATGGCTCCCATGCGAACAAGCAAATCATATAAATTTTTTAGAGCTATTAGCAGTTTTCAAAGCTTTAAAAAATCTTTGTTCAAAATTTCGTGATATCCATATATGTATTCAATCTGACAATTCTGTTGCTATTGCTTATATCAACAATATGGGAGGTGCAATTGATTCATTACATGAATTGTCTAAATCTATTTGGTTATGGTGTTATAAGAAGAGTATATACTTATCTGCTAAGCACATTCAGGGTAAATTTAATTTAGAGGCTGACTTCTTATCAAGAAATTTTTCAAACTCCACAGAGTGGATGCTCCATGAGAATACATTCAATAAGATTTGTAATTATTTTGGTACACCAGATATAGATTTATTTGCATCCTCATTAAATTATCAGATTGAATCTTATGTTTCTTGGTACCCAGATCCATATTGTTTAGCTTGTGATGCTTTCACTATTTCTTGGAATAATTATTATCCATATATTTTTGCTCCTTTCAGTCTTATACCTCGAATACTCAACAAGCTAGTTTTGGACAAGGTAGCAATGGCTATAATGGTTGTTCCAGCATGGTCAACCCAGGTATGGTATCCTTTGCTGTTAAGTCTTTTAGTGGATTACCCACTTCTTTTGCCCAAACGGAGAGATCTGTTGAGGTTGGTCCACAGCGGTGCGTTGCACCCCTTGAAAGGCAATTCCCTCAGGTTGACCGTTTGTCTTGTATCAGGGCAAACATTCAGAGTCGAGGCATTTCAAAAGAGTCTGCAGAACTCATCCTTAATTCATGGCGACCAAAAACAAACAAGCAATATCAATTGGCTTGGAATAGATGGAATCTTTGGTGTGTGCAAGGGAAAGTCAATCCCTTATTTCCATCTATAGAAAATTTGTTGAATTTTCTTGGGTTTTTGCACAAATCAAATTTTTCATATAGTGTCATAAATGCAACTCGCTCTAGCATTGTCCAGACATTGCTTACTCTTGGGAATTCTCACTTGAGGGACCACCCTTTATTTACTCGGTTCATGAAAGGTGTTTTTGTCCATAAACCACCTAAACCTCGTTATTTGGCAACATGGGATGTATCCATCTTGTTGCATTATCTAAGTTCATTGTATCCGTTGGATACATTATCTTTACGTATGCTTACGATTAAAGCAGTTTCTCTATTGTCTTTGTCAACTGCTCAACGATGTCAAACGCTAGCATCTTTCTCTTTAGATTCTGTGAAAGATTCTGGAACAGCTATGTGTCTGTCGGCATCGGGTGTCTTGAAGACATCACGCCCATCTCAACCGCTATATACTGTCAACATTAATAATTATAAGAAATTATCTATTTGCCCTTGTTATACACTACGCACATATATTTCAGCTACCCAGAGTAAGCGTAAATCACAGAATTTATTTATTTCTTTTTTCCACAAAAAAGCAGTTTGTGCTGCTACTATAGCCGGATGGATTAAAGAAGCTTTGATTTCATCTGGTATTAATACAGATATATTTAAACCACACTCTGTAAGAGGTGCTTCATCATCTGCCGCTAATTTAGCAGGACTCTCTATTTCAGAAATATTGAAGACAGCAGACTGGAAGTCGGAGAAGACTTTTGCTGCTTATTATAAAAGAGATATTTTGCCTTCTTTTTCAGATATTGTGTTAAATAAAATGTAAACATGTTTTCCATTTGTTGTTGTCAACCTCTTTAAATTATGCAATATTAATCCGAAATGCCCAGAGGGCATAGATGGAATATAATTCTACTCTCAGCCGAGCGCCCGAAGGGCGCGAAGGATGAGAGAAATTATATGAATATATAGCCCGAGGGCTTGAGGATTAATCTTCCCTCCCTAAGTCCCTCCCAGGTTATATGTTCATATAATTTTTTGGTTGACAACATGCTTGACTTTAAAAAGACACTTACCAGAGTTTGCACGGACTGACATCAACTACGGCCACGTGATACAGGTCAGGGTTCATGAGTTTTTTGGTTTTTCTTTAAACATGAGTGTTCAAGCATATTCTGGCTGGATAACCGGGAATATGCAATATTAATCCTCAAGCCCTCGGGCTATATATTCATATAATTTCTCTCATCCTTCGCGCCCTTCGGGCGCTCGGCTGAGAGTAGAATTAGTTTGTCTGCAATATCCTGCTATGCACTTTTTTGTACATACTTGCTTTTCTTCGCTACAGGCGTAAAAACTGTAGAAAACATCTTATCCTGGTAAAAATATAAATTAGAAATTTCGATACTTGGTCTAGTGATTTTTGCAGAACTTTGGATAGATTAGTACATGTGAGCACTTCTGCCCGTGACAATTTACTATTGATCCTATGCAACGGAATTTCGTTTGCCAATTTTGGACCCACGTCGGTTTAGTCACTGGGCGCTGACCCACTATAGGTCCAACATTTGATCCCTGTATTGCCCGACAAAGTTTGTCGGAATTTTTCAGCATGTTTTCCCCATGTTAATAAAAGTATTTGGGGCATACCAGAAACCGAAAATAGCTGTTAAAAGTCTAAACTGCGAAAGTCCATGTTTGACAAGACCGAGAGAAACACGTGTGTATAGGTTCGAGATACGTCTCTGGAAATATGGATGATCTTATAACCCCTTGAGTAGCATTTAGCGATTGGGAACAATCAATACACCTTTTTCTCGTCAAACAATTACAATAACCATACAACACGATTAGGGGAAGATTCGAATATATTTAAGAACCGACTTTTTAAAACTGTGGACACAATATTATCTTCACGGTTTATATGATGTTGTGGAATCATTAAAATAGACATATAAGCCAATTGAATATTCGTTCTTTTCAGATGGGAGGTGATATTGCAGGCTAACAGGCGTGTTGTACGGATTAAAACCAGACATAACTCTAGCGTATAATAGTCGATGTCAATAACCTATCATTGTCTGTATGTTAAGGGAGCAATAAAAACTACAACACAACTTGAATGTATATTGGGTTATATTTTTAATTTTTTTAACCGAGGCTTTTATTGCTTTTTAATTCATTGAAAGGAGCAGTCCTTTTTTAGAGAGAGAGTGAGAAAGAGTGAGAGAGGTGTGTGTGTGTGTGTGGTGGGGGGGGGTGTCTTTAGCCGTAGGAATAATTCGGAGGACCCGGAAAGTTTATGGTTCACTCGACACAAACTATGTCATTTCTGGACAAACGTAATGATTCAATTTGTCTCAATAATTCGCCTGTGCGTTAGGTTCTTTAGTCGTAGGGAGAAATCGGACGGAGGACATCACTACTCCGTGTCAGGTACAAAGTGGGAATGGAAACCACACCACTCGACTCAATGACACGACAGACCTTGTGATGTAAAGCGCACATGTTAGACCATTCTGCCACCCACCGCTACACAGATGTTTTAGGATAACCGTAATATAGATTGGTTTAGGTATGACACAGTGAGTGGTTTATCCTAGAGGTCGATGCTCGAATTATTGGGAGAGTCTATAATACCTATTCCATCTGTTTATGTAATTCCAACAGACTATATTTTAAGGGAGCTAAATCTCTAACTCAGTATTAGTGATATTGCTGGCGTTATCAGAGGGAATGTGGTGTGTCTTTTAATTGGAATCGACCGATTTGGGTAATATTTGGGGCCAATATATGTTTTGGGCAAGACAAGTGTTGCTTGTGTCAGATCTTAAGTCTGTATTTGACTATAAACACATTCATATAATGTATTAGGTTGAAACGCCCCCCCCCAAAAAAAACAAAAACATGTTGGAATATTTTCCTCATACCAGTGGTCATTAACCCGGTTAAGATGAAACGAAAAGGGAACACTGCGCCGCTTCTTTTAAAGACACATTTGCTATTTCAAATGGAAGACATTTATGAAGATTAAGAGTCCTTTAATCGGTAAAGGATCCGGGGTTCCCAAATGAGGTCACCCAGTTGCCATGTAGTCGCGACTTATTTTGGGTTTCAATGTCTTCCTGCGAATTCGAGGAGTAATGGTAGGTACATTAGAACAGTTGACAGTTACCGGCTGCGGGGCGAGTGAGGATCGCACGATAGCTTGGTGGCCAGTCGTCACGTGAATCATACAAAATCGATCAAAGAAGTAAGTTCGCCCAAATCTGGACGGTAAGACCCACCACTGCAAATTTAGTCGCGGTGGCTCGGTGCTAAGGCACTGGGTTCGACCCAGGAGGGTGTCAGGACGGAGGAACTAGCAAGGAACAGCATCTAGTCATTTGGACGGAACATTAAGTCAAGGTATCGTGTACACATTGGCGTGCACGTAAAAGAACCCTATGCCCGTCCTAATTTCTTTAGTCCGGGTGCAGTAACCCATAAATATCATGGCAGTTCATACCACTGCCTAAAAGATGCTTCCTTTATCTTGGTAGTTAAAATAACATACGACTGACCTATTGAGCCACGGTGGCTGAGTGGTTAAGACGCTGGCTCGCTAGCCTGGTGGTCGGGTATTCGATCCCTGCATTGGCCGAGAAAGTTCATCTGGATTTTCCGACGTGGTTTCCCCTTGTCAGTGGTGCAGAACTGAGGGCCTGACAAGGACAGTTGTCTAGTCCTTCGGATGAGACGAAAAACCGAGGTCCGATGTATACATTGGAATGCACGTAAAAAATCCCTTGGCAGTTGGAATTCGATATAAGAATAGGCGATAGTGCCGCTGCCCGGGCAAAATTTCCCTCATAGCACACTATATGGCGTATGCCCGTCTTCATTAGCCCAGTATAGGAGCAGAACAGTAGAACGTTAAACCCCATTTCATTCCATTTACAACTGACCTATACAGTAGGACGTTAAAGCAATTTCATTTCACCCCATGCTCTATATATAGTGTATTAGATGATAGTGTTGTTCAATATTTTCTTTATGCTGGCAAAGAAGTTAATCGGTAATATTGCAGCTTTCTGAAGAATTTATCGACATTTAGTCCTATTATATCCATCAAAGGAATTATTTGTATCGAGTTTAAATGATTCACGCGACGCCTGGCATGTCTTTAATTAAAGATACATTATGGGAGATTAGATACAGAGTCGATATGTAACATTTTTACCGACATGCGTAGCATTTCGTGTACATAATTCTTTCAATTTTGGTTTCACGCTACATAACGTCAGTAAGTAAATTCAATAAAGATTATGGGAGATTAGATAAAGAGCTGGAAGTTCTCACTATTATAGTTAAAAGCTAGATAATGTAAAGGGAATTTGCTAAAAAATTCAGTCAAATTGATCCACTCTGAACCGATAATTTAGCGATTGAATTTTAGGTCTAGCCTCGATCATCATTACTAAAGTCGGTACGAAAAAAACATAGTCTTGATTATCCATTTTTGAATTAAATCCTGTAAATATCCTAGGCTAGCGATGGCATGTCTGCTCTCAGAGGTCTTTTGTCCGATGCAGCCTGTACATGCGGTTCGAGTTGCTTCGGATTGCTACTCCAAGTGCGTGGTAAGATCCACTGCACGAGCCCGATAGCGAACAATTGAACTTTGAAGAGGGAGTTCAAGACATCGCGAAATCACCTACAGGCAAACGGCTGGATTAGCCCATTCATAATACATCTAACTATCCCTTTACAGCACTTCACTCCCTACACATTTCCCCTCGTCCTACTTTCCCAAACGTCAACAACACATCTCATACATCCAGTTCGCTGATTAACCCTTGTACCACGTCTACTGGATTAGCCCGTGCCAACAGCCAAATCTAGCTCTTGGGGCAGGCGACTCTTCGTGTGTTCGGGAGGATTTATCCCCGTCAGCGGCCCATCCGTGTTGCGAGTCGCGATCGATCGGCAACTAGTACCTTGTCACTGTCTGTCGTTAATTTTATCTGTACAACTGTGGTCTCTAGGTTGTCTTCTGTGGGGCGGTGGGCATTGTGGAGCGGGGTTTTTTTTTTGGGGGGGGGGAGGGGGCTGATCGTGACAGTTTTGTAGTCCAATCTACACATCTATAAAGCCAAACAAAATAAATTAAATCTTGTAAACAAACTGAGTGTCTCTTCTGTTATGTAACGCAAATTTAATCGTATATTTATTTTGTCTAATCACTAATCAAATCAACCCAATTCAAGACTGTATCTGTACATACACCAAATAATTTACCGCCATTAAATATCATGTCAAGGATTATAATAATGTACTTTGTGTAGGATGTTAAATCCCATTACATTTGATTTGATTTTGTGCAACATAATTAGATTTAAGAAAATGTAAAATATATTTCATTTCGGCAATATCATTCCATCTTCAGAGTTTAGGATATAATCTTCGCTTAAATATTTTGATGGGCTTTTTCTTAATCATATTGAATACTGTTGATTTCGATTGTTTGTTCTTAATTAAATGTTAAACAATTTATGACTTGAGTTCATCGTGGATAAAACTGTACAAAAAATAGAAATTGTCCGAAAAATACATGTGACGATTAGCATATTCCTGAAGCCATGACCCGAGAAATCCCTCTCTGGCCATTGTTGGATTGACTTCTGATACTTGAGCTTTTGAGGAGTGTGTCTATTCTTCCCTTTCAATCAAATCTCTCCAAGGTACAATCTGGGATCTTCCCTAAAACTTTGGACGATGATTTAAGGTATTAAAAACGGCGAAAATATTGTTCGTCTTCAAACAGTATCGTTTACATCGTAGACGTTTTGATACCATCGTTTGTCAGGCAATTAGTTTGTCTGCAATATCCTGCTATGCACTTTTTTGTACATACTTGCTTTTCTTCGCTACAGGCGTAAAAACTGTAGAAAACATCTTATCCTGGTAAAAATATAAATTAGAAATTTCGATACTTGGTCTAGTGATTTTTGCAGAACTTTGGATAGATTAGTACATGTGAGCACTTCTGCCCGTGACAATTTACTATTGATCCTATGCAACGGAATTTCGTTTGCCAATTTTGGACCCACGTCGGTTTAGTCACTGGGCGCTGACCCACTATAGGTCCAACATTTGATCCCTGTATTGCCCGACAAAGTTTGTCGGAATTTTTCAGCATGTTTTCCCCATGTTAATAAAAGTATTTGGGGCATACCAGAAACCGAAAATAGCTGTTAAAAGTCTAAACTGCGAAAGTCCATGTTTGACAAGACCGAGAGAAACACGTGTGTATAGGTTCGAGATACGTCTCTGGAAATATGGATGATCTTATAACCCCTTGAGTAGCATTTAGCGATTGGGAACAATCAATACACCTTTTTCTCGTCAAACAATTACAATAACCATACAACACGATTAGGGGAAGATTCGAATATATTTAAGAACCGACTTTTTAAAACTGTGGACACAATATTATCTTCACGGTTTATATGATGTTGTGGAATCATTAAAATAGACATATAAGCCAATTGAATATTCGTTCTTTTCAGATGGGAGGTGATATTGCAGGCTAACAGGCGTGTTGTACGGATTAAAACCAGACATAACTCTAGCGTATAATAGTCGATGTCAATAACCTATCATTGTCTGTATGTTAAGGGAGCAATAAAAACTACAACACAACTTGAATGTATATTGGGTTATATTTTTAATTTTTTTAACCGAGGCTTTTATTGCTTTTTAATTCATTGAAAGGAGCAGTCCTTTTTTAGAGAGAGAGTGAGAAAGAGTGAGAGAGGTGTGTGTGTGTGTGTGGTGGGGGGGGGGGGTGTCTTTAGCCGTAGGAATAATTCGGAGGACCCGGAAAGTTTATGGTTCACTCGACACAAACTATGTCATTTCTGGACAAACGTAATGATTCAATTTGTCTCAATAATTCGCCTGTGCGTTAGGTTCTTTAGTCGTAGGGAGAAATCGGACGGAGGACATCACTACTCCGTGTCAGGTACAAAGTGGGAATGGAAACCACACCACTCGACTCAATGACACGACAGACCTTGTGATGTAAAGCGCACATGTTAGACCATTCTGCCACCCACCGCTACACAGATGTTTTAGGATA